GTCGGCAGCACTGATGCCCTGCAAACCCCGCAGATGGCACAGAACACGCGTTGAGGGATTTCACCTCAGTACCGAATCATGGACATAACCGAGCGAGTAAGCGCTGTGTAGTTACTCATGAAATCTGCGTGATATTTCAAATGAATTTTAACATGTGAGTTTTTCTTTATTCAAAAAAGAGTTTTAAGTGTTTTAAGCAATTAGGTGACTTTATTTTTTTAATTTTTTTTTAAATATATCTTTATTGATTTCAGAGAGAGGAAAGGAGAGGGAGAGAGAGAGATAGAAACATCAGTGATGAGAAAGTCATTGATCGGCTGCCTCCTGCACGCCCCCTACTGGGGATCCAGCCCGCAACCCGGGCATGTGCCCTGACCAGGAATCGAACCCTGATCCCCTGGATCCCAGGTCGACGCTCAACCGCTGGGCCACATGGGCCGGGCCAATTAGGTGACTTTAATTTTTGTTCCTTTTCCTGTACATTCCAACCTATTTTTTCTAAAGTACTATGTGCAGAACATAAGTAAATAAATAAATACGTGTGTATGTAAATGCATAAATATATATATACATAAGTGAAGGATAATATTGGCTACTAATATTGTCAGTTATTCTTAGAACCAGCAATTGACATGTTTTTATACTTTTGTTTTCATCTAAACTCCCTATTGGTGCTGTTTTTGGATTGTAGCATAACTAGTTTTAAACCAGTTACATGCAATTTACAAAGATCACCAATTTGTAATATGACCAAGGCCTTCTCAAATCAACAGGTCGAAGCCTAAATTAGGTACTGTGGCCTGGAATAAGCTTTCCAAAACTTTGGTGAGAATGCATTTTAAAAAAATAAATGATTTTGTACAATGCAATGAGAAAGCAATTTATACATTCAGAGAATCTGCAAACAAGTCTTTAAAAAAAAAGTTTTTATTAATTAATCTCAGAGAGAGGAAGGGAGAGGGAGAGAGACTAGAAACATCAATGATGAGAGTCATTGATTGGCTGCCTCCTGTATGACCCCACTGGGGACCGAGCCCGAACCTGGGCATGTGCCCTGACTGGGAATCGAACTGTGACCTCCTAGTTCATAGGCTGACACTCAGCTACTGAGCCAAGCCGGCCAGGCATGCAAACGAGTCTTGATACAAGCTTCGGAGAAAGCACTTTGTTCACCTCACAGAGGGGATGTTCGGATGGAGGCACAGCTACCCTTCATAAGCTAATACAAGAAACAATCCCAGCCAGGCTGGCGTGGCTCAGTGGTTGAACATCCACCTAGGACCTACGAAATCACAGTTCAATTCCCAGTCAGGGCACATGCCCAGGTTTCAGGCTTTGATCCCCAGCAGGGGGGTGCAGGAGGCAGCCGGCCAATGACTCATCACTGATCTTTCTCTCCCTCTCCTTTCTATCTCTGAAATAAATAAACTTTAAAAAAAAAAAATTTTTTTAAATCACAAATAGCAGGAAGGAATAGAAGGAAGGGGTTAACATATACATTCTCCAGAAAGCTCCTCAGCTTACAAGGACAATCAGTTCATGTTTAGTTTCTTGACACTAGCATTGAAAAGAAGATGGTTTGTGTTACGTAAAACAGGAGAGAAAAGTGTCATCAGTCCTTTCCCTTTTTGTTTTGCTCCTCTGGTGGAAAGGCCGCTTACACTCATGACCTTGGTGTGTCCAACGAGGCAAGTAAGAGAATGATAGGTGGGGAATTCACCTCTTCTCCTGGCTCCTGTTCTTACGTGCAGCCGCTGCTGAGCCACAACAGGGACGAGTCAAAGGATCAGGGCCCTCTGCGATGACTCTTCATTCAGCTTCTCACATCCTGTCTTCCCGCCACTGGGTGCTGGACTGGTCTGCATTTCCCCTCTTCCTTTAACTTATTACATCTTTTTTATCCCTTTTGAAACAACTCAAGAGAGTTGAAGTCTAATTCCTGGCCCAGTGGCTCTGCCTTCAGCCAGGTAGTCAGCAACTTAGTAATGCGAAGAGTGAAAGCTTGTTTTGGCTACATGACGTTGCTCTTTCCAAGTTCATCTTTGTTTAGTTCATTGAAAGCAGAACATTCTAGATTAAAACATATTCTTTATGAATCTTCCCTTTTTCTTTATTCCTCAAAAATAAGACAACAAAAAACAGAACACATTTCTTAAGAGTTCATTTACATGACAGCAAATTTGACTACACTATAAATAAATTAATCTGGCAAAATGCAACTAAGGGTGTTCATGTGGGGACACAATGAATTTCAATAGAATATTTTGAAATTTGTTTGCAAAATTTTTCACCAACTGTGACTCTTTCCACTTAATCCTCAAGGCTGTGGAAGCCGTCTCTACCTCCCTTTTTCTCCTTGAGCTTTTCTGCTGGCTCTTAAAAGCCAATAAACCTTAGACTTTCTGTGATTCTCTGTGTTACCATTTTCCTTTAAACATGTTTTGCTGTTGCTCTTTATTGCTTTAGATGGTGTGGGCCTTCCACTTGCCCAGTTAAACTTTCCAGCTGTGTTCCTGGCAAATTTATTTTTCCTTAAAGATTTTTCTTTTCGCCTGCTCCACATGTGTAGCGGTGCTTCCAACCCAACGGGCCCCTCATGCTTGTAATCTTAGTGCACGTGGTGCTCATGACTATCTATGTGGTTCTGTCTCTTAGTGCTAATATACCTGAGCCAACAAAGACCTGTCAGCCTCCTTCAAATTTGCTTTAATAGCTAAGTTTCTCTGTTAATATTACATGAGAGGATCTGAGAATTGAATTCCTTCCGTGTTAGGACCCTAAATCTAGGTCTGTGCCTTAATGAAGGCCAGAAACTGTGATTGAGTTTCATTCCATTAAATACTGAGGAATTACTCCCTAAATAACTGCTTAAATTTAGAGTGCATGAGGTATATAAAATAAGAATGACTGTGGCATCACTGAAAAATCTCTCTTTAAATATCCACATTTTTATAAAACTTTCATTCATCTGAGGATATGTTTCCCTTTTAACGCCCATTCCACTTTCTTTTCTCTGCCACTCTTCCACTTCCTATCTCAAGAGGTAGCGCATTTGACTCACATCACATTTTTCCTCATTGTTGAAATTCAGTGGCTAGGCTCCCTCTTTTCTAGGCTGTAAAACCTGACTACAGCATTTTCATAAACCAACTGGAAAAAAATCCATTCCCAATAGACATTTTTCTTAAACAGCAAACATTAACTCCCATCAAGTTGGAATGTGCCTTTGAGAATTCAGTATCATGATAGGGGAAGTTTATGTCGCATGGTAAGTGGACTTCACCGTATTATTTTCAGTCTCTCTCCACATTAGTAGCTGTTTAGAGACTTGTTTTTTGGGAACAGAAAAAAATGCCTTTATGCTGTATAAACTTCACACAATATAATTTGGACACTTTAAACATTTTGTTTTTAAAGTTATATTTCAATAATTTAAAATAATCCCGATAGATATACTTTGCACTTAAGTAAAAAACCTTTAGCTAAGGGGTGGATAATAAATTTTAAAACAAGTATTTTTACCATTTAAAATGAAAAGGGCACGTTAGCATCTGCTTCTCTACTCCCATATTGCTCTCATATAAGTCAATGTAGTATTCATTTGAGAGCTGAGAAAAATAGGGCAAGAAAAGCTACGTGAGTTGCCCTAGGAGCACAGAACAGAATGGCAAGGCTGGGCTTGCAACTCGGCACGTAAATCAGGGACTGCATTTAGTACATGGTGCTCCATCCCTTGTCTGAACAAATAACAGACAACTGTAGTGTTGAATCTACCTGATCAACACCTAATGGACAGTGACACCAACGGGGTATTTACCACCTCATCTAGAGGATGGCTACTCTCAGGAGGTCAAGGGGTTTTGGAGCTGAGATCCAATTTTTATGGTCACAGAGATGTTTGCCTGCGCCACGTGCTAGCTCCTGATCAGAAATGAAAGTTTTGCAAATTGTCGAGTTTATTTTCCAGAAGACACATGCTTCCTTTTATATTCTTATTTCCCATAATAGAGAACACAAGGAACCTGTCTATGCAGAAATTAGATGCTCAACTTATATTTTAATATTAAGGAATCAAATTAGTGAGTGAGATAAACAAATACTTTACTCTTTCCTTCCAGTCTTTGTGCTTACATCTCTGCGTTACACCAGTGTTTATGTGAGTAGTATTGTAAAATGGTTAAGTGAGATATTTAAGAAAACAATTATGTTGATTATATCACTTGCAATATAAAATTAGCTTCTCTTAATAGCTTTATCATCAGCTTGGTAATTTAGTGGTAAACCTGGACTGTAGATAATAGGCTCTCAATACCTGTAGTATAGGGTAATATAGCATACTGTTTCATTTTTTTAGAGATCATTCTGATAACTCGTTGAACTACAACTAAAATAACCAACAAAGTTCTAAAGAAAGTTTTCAATAAATAGCTATGTCTATATAATTCTAAATAAAAGCATATTTTCTTTCCATAGGTTCTTGCAAATACACTGTTGTTTTATTAAATCATATACACTGAGCTACTTTTATCCTAAGTTTTAGATAAAGGCACATAAATTCCTTGTGATACAGTTTGTCTCTGTCTATCCCAAAGAATAGGTTTTCCTATTCCAACGGTATCTTGAATGTGCATCGAGTTGTTGGGTTTGGACAACTGAAAGTAGAACTGAGAGTCTTCAGAGACTCCTAGAGAAAGGGCTGCTGTTGGGATTAAGTGAACCTGACTGAGAAAAAGAAAAATGTACCTTAGAAATATAACAATTAGTGAAATAGCTCTAAAAAGCAACACTAATGCTAATGAGTGGAGGGGATTTGTAACATTCAAACCACTTTAAATTAAATAAATGAATAAGGAATTTTAACTACATAGCAATAATTACTTGACTACTCACTACCCATTACTCTTAGGTAGATTGTGCCCTTTGATTAAAAAAGAAACAGCAACACAACATTGGTTTTCATTTTGAATGCCTCCCTCTTACCTTCTCTTTTTGTTTTCCAGATGACACGAGAACAATACATACTAGCCACACAGCAGAACAGCCTGCCGCGGGCGGAGAACGCACAGCTGTACCCCGTGGGGATTTATGGGTGGCGCAAGAGGTGCTTATACTTCTTTGTCCTTCTCCTCTTGGTTACCATGATAGTTAACTTAGCCATGACAATATGGATATTGAAAGTTATGAATTTCACTGTGGTAAGTACCACCATGATTTTATTTCACATCTATTGCTTTTGGTTCACAGACAATACAACTGTTATTTCTTTTTTAATTGAAAGTGACTCATCGTAATCTTTACATGTAGGTGTCTTGAAATTCCAGAGGCTGTCATATATTGTTTTAAGGCTGCATTCGATATGTGTATTCATGAACCCCATCTGGTATTGCTACCTGCATTTAAGTTTGGGAAATTTAGTTAATGAGACAGCAGAGCGCATTGATTCACTAGAGATTTAGAAAACTTTTAACCAATACACAAGAACTATTGCTTGCTCTACCTGGGAATCTAAGAAATGAGTCTGATATTTCACAATAAAATTAGATGATATTTCACAATAAAACTAACATCAGATTACAAGTACCTTTGGGATACTTCATATAGAATATTTGCCTCTCCATATCTGCTTTCTATGTAACATACCTCATGATCAAATACAAACCTTGGGATTTTGCCTGGGCTGCATGAGCTTATGTCTATAATTGTGGTCAGATGGTAATCTAATTTTTTAGTGCAGATATGGTAAATAGAAGATAAACCAGAAATTAAATCCAATTTTTATGAAAATTAATAACAATAGTAAAATAATTTTATAATTCATTGATGAATTTAGAATGTGTACAATAGACCTATAACATGGCTTAACTGGAAAAAATAGCTACTTCAGCAAAGTCTAGCTTAGCTCATTTTATATTTTCTGGCTAACCTTTAAACCTTTTGGCTTTTGCTTAGAGACCACAGATATCTTCACATCCAAGCAGGTATCTTTCACTTGCTGGCAGTGTTCTTCAGAACTCTGCATCCTCAGGGCAAGTGTAAAGCTGGCATTTGACTTCACTAATCTTCCTATATTGGATATCATTGGGAAAAAAATGAAAAAAGCCCCACCTCTGCTATGTATTGATTTAGCAAGAGTAGTTTCTGACTTCACTTACATCTAACTTTAAGTCAAAAGAAATCTCAAAAGGAAAAATGAGCCAGATCTGTCCATAGCGTGGGCACTGCGGTTGGATGCAGAGGGAGCCTGAGAGGGCAGGTGGCCTAACTTTTCAGAGAGAAAAAAGACATGACTGTGCAAATCATGATAAAACACCATATGCTCAGAGAGAAAAATAAGTTGAAAAAAATGAACACGGGTTCCATTTTGTCCAGTTCAGTGCAAATTTGAAAGGGTATTTATCAAAAAAGAAATGGAAATCAGAGAAAGGATGGGCAGGAATCAGTATGTTCTAGGATTTGAGAAATTACCTTTATCCTTAACATGGATACATGTTCAAGGTCACGTGTCTAGCCTGTGAGCCTGTGGGTGGCTGAAGGTGGAATTGAGGGCTACTAGGCCAGTTATTGCTTTCTGAGACTCTCTGGTNTTATCCTTAACATGGATACATGTTCAAGGTCATGTGTCTAGGCCTGTGAGCCTGTGGGTGGCTGAAAGTGGAATTGAGGGCTACTAGGCCAGTTATTGCTTTCTGAGACTCTCTGGTAATACATTGACCATTCCTTTGTCTCAAGAGTTGGCTCAATCAGTCCTCTCCTTCCCTCTTCCCTCTACACACACTTGGAAATGTTTTGGCGCAAATGTCACTAATTCTACCCCTAGACTTTCTGTTCCTCTGAGCTCTGCTCCTACCTTCTCTTGCTCGTGTCTGGGTTTCATTAATGATTTATTTATCACATTAGTAGGGGCAGTGTGTTTACCTCTGCGAATTCTTCTATGCTGTCCTAAGCATCAGTCAAACTTGCAGTTGCTGACAGCAGCTTTCTCAACTTCATTTTCTTAACTAAAAAAAAAAATTAAAAAATTAAAAAGAGATAAGAGTAGCATTTTCTCCAAGTTTTGAAATTCTGAGCCTTCAATTTCCTGTACCAAAAGGCATCTTTCAAAAGCTCATGAAAGATGTGATCAGTTCTCACGCCAGGGAGCCTTGATTCTATCCAGTGACCAGGCCCTGGAAATTTTCAGATTCCAGCATGTAAGCTTCTCAAGCATATTTAAATTAATTAGGAAAATTGACTTAAATGCATAATTACATGGCTGCATGCATCAGCCTCCCAATACCTTGCCCCATGCTGAGGCCACTGCTAGATAAGCCATTCAAGGAAAACAATTGAAACAATCACCTTTGTCCTCAGGATCCACACAGGCCTCAGGGTGTCTGTTGCGTATGGAGTTATCTAATTTGAACCTCAGCTGGCAAAATGGGAAATGTCATCATATTCCTGGGCATAATGAGAAGGAGTCTATTTCCATAGGAGGCTTGATATATATATATATATATATAAAAATAAAAATTTGGATATATCTTACTTATTTTGAAATTAAAATTTTAGTGTTTTATCATCAAAATAGAAGACATTCCTTCCTTCAGCCATGTAAGCTCTTTGTATGTAGCTAAAAGAAAAAGATGAAATTGTAATTACTGCGTCAAGATCATCTTTGTAAGGTAACATACAAAGTTTCCCTATCTCAATACAGTAATTTATAATTGTTCGGAGAAATTTCAAATTACTTAAGTAGTTGCAGAATTTGGCAGTCCTGAGTTGTACGCCTCAGATTAAGTTGTATGTACTTGAAAAGTGTAAAATAATTTGTAATCCTCTTACATTAGAGCAGTACCAAAAAAAATCAATTTTATATTTTCCCTGGTACATTACCATTGTATCTGTCTCCAGAGTAAATGCCAAAACCACTTGCCACAATACAGTAAGAAGTCGTAACTGATGTGTAAATTGTTTGGGGATTATTATTGATCTGCACAAAATGTGTATCTCTTTTATTTTAACTGTTGCCATCCAACACATAAAAAATATGTGACTGGGAATATCTTTTATTTGAGGAAACTGGGCATGTTAATGCTATCAAAATATTGGGTTTTTGGCACAGCAAAAGTAGCTGCCAACCTGTTCTATGGTACCTCTTGGAGCCCATCATTACGATCAGTATTATACATGATCTGTACGGTTGATGTGATTTCATTCTGTTTCTCATTTTGTGGAAAATAAAATCTCTCTGCTATTGAGATATTCAGCTGCAGACAGTCAAGAGAAAGGAAATGAGTTTATACTACAGGGCGAAAGAAGAGATAGATATAAACAATAATTTCCTGACTATGAGAATTGATAAATAAAGGGATAAGTTAAAGAAAGAGATTTTAAAAGCCCATTCTCCCTCAGACAGCATAACCCCATCACCCGTTGTTGCTGTTGCTGTTGCTGTAGTGCGGTTGGTCGGCATGTTTCTTGGTTGAAATTAAAAGGACTAGTCCAGGAGAGCTATCAAAACCCGGCATTCTGTGAGACAATATTCTTTTCTTGGTTCAAGCGCTCCTTCTAAGTAAATATGTTCTATATTTTAAAAGCGAAAATTAATATAATGTTAAAGCATTGTTTTTAATCACAAGAATACCAAGTAAAAGGCATGGCATTTAACTGCAACTTAACTTGATTAGATATGTTAACTAGCCATCAAAAGAAAGAATGGAAACTTAAGTGCCATCTATTTACCAAATAGAGAAAATTTCTGAGTGTTGTGACTGAGCAGTTGGGAATATCCATGTGGGTAATAATTAAAACAATCAGTTAATTGAACAAATTGGGAAAAATTCTTAGAGATTTGTATGATCAGTAGAATGAATGTTGGCTGAAAGGCGATCCCACAAGAAGTAGGGTCAAATATCATAGTCTCTTAGGGATTGTACAGGAACTGGATAATTTTTATTTCAACCTTTCACATATTGCTGGAGGTCACTCCACAATATTTCCTCCATTCGATCAATCAGCATCTGCTTAAATATTCCTTTGGATGATACACGAACAATCTTATTAAATCACTGCACAGTTTTATTCTTGTTAAATATTTTGTTATTTGTTACAATCTCCTTGTATATGATTCTAATCAGGGATCCTAGTTACATTCTTTCAATTTGACATGAATTTATTAATTAGTTTATCAAGTCCACAGTATGTCCTAATACACATATAGATAAACACATATACAAACATATATATATATATATATATATATATATATATATATATATGCAAATACACATACACATCAAGGATATATATTTTTCTTTTATGTCTAAAAGTCAGAATATGTAAGAGAGATTCTTATGCAATCACTTTGGTTTCTTTACTTGCCACTTGCTTTTCTTCATTTTTAAATATTATCTGTACTACATAATTACAATTCTATGTTTACAATACTGTCAACCCTTTTAAGATATTTTTCTGTTTATAGCTGTTGACCATAGAGTCATTGATATTTTTTATCATATTTTCTTTCCTTTTCATGTACCTTTCTAAAGTTGAGAGTACATACATTATATTCAGTTTCTGCTTTCTAACTTTTTAAGCTAAAATTTTAAAAAGTTAATTTGGGGGGAATGTAGAACAAACATTTTCTGAGTCTTAAATCCTGTGTTCTTTCTAATATGTTGGTTAATGAAATATCACATAGCCCTATCTCACTCTTGTGACTATTACTTCTTTATAATCTTCATCATTAACCCAGTGAAGATTATCCGTAGCCATTTCAATCTACCTAAGGTGTGTAAAGTATATTCTCGGTGTGCTATCATTTATTAGTGTGTCTATCCAAAAACTGCTATGGCCACAGCTTTCTCCATTTTACTCTAATTGGACCATTCCTTTGGAATGCACTTTCATCTCTGTGTATCCAGCCAGTTCTCAAAGCTGAGTCTTCATCCCAAATGCATTTTATTTCTTACTCAGATTCTATGGATATACACAGACCTATATGAAGCTTAAATATCAAATAACTATAATTTGTAACTTTTAATTACTTTGTGATCTTGTTTATTGCCTTTCCCCCCTTCCCACAGATAGCATGTAAGCTCCACAAGGCCCAGAGTTTTGATACTTTTCGCACCACTGTATTTAATGGCTCTGTGGCCTATGCAGTGGCCTTTATTAACTTCTAAACTGAAAATACTGTTCTGTGTTCTAACATTAA